TGTGTATATATATAAATTAAAAATGAATTTCGACCCTATGCTTATTCATTATGGTTCACATACACTAGTCTATATTTTAGTTTTGGTTTTTGCTTACAGACTTTGGAGTACATGGGATTTCAGTTTTGTCAGAAGCATCTCATCAGCATCTAGTAATCCAGTAATAAGGTATATTAAAAGTTTTACATCACATTGCAACTCCAAAGGCACTGATTGTGTCTATTGTAGCAATTTTTGTCTACATTGCTGTTGTACTATTGTTACTAATTTCTTTTAACTTTAGAAATCAAAACATCTTCATTTCTATGCTCTGATTGGAGAAGTTTCCTTAAGTGTGCTATCATTAGATTTCCCGTCGATTTTTACAATCCTGTAATTTCTAAACTAAAATAATTCTTCTACCATTTTATAGCTTTCATTTTACTATTTAACCTTGTATTAATAACTAAAAGTCAGTTTTTGCGACGAGTGACTGGTTTGGCTCGTCTTTGCCACATATGATTTTTCAAAATGTCAGTAAGCAATATTCAAATTCATTTTTTAACTACGTAATACCTGTCTTCTCACAGCTTATGTTATACGGTGGACAGTCGCTATTTGTTCTCATGTGACTCTCAAGGGCAAGTCTCTGTATGGGGACGTGCGGATGAAACCAAGAACAAAGTTCCAAAATTTGAAGCTTTTATGGGGCCAATTACGAAGATCTAACGGCAGTGTGGAACACAGGGAGTGACATATCTATATTGGGGGAGGGGGGTGTGTAGGTGCATGCCCCTTTATTTAAAAACACCTCACATCACTTTATTATTTTTCTAGTATCTTCGAGTCCCCTAACTTCATCAACAAAATGATTTTAAATATTATGATGATGTGTGATGGTGGTCAGTGGTGGCTACAGACATTTGCAGAGGGACTAACAAGCCCGATAGAGGGAGTCCTAATGAAGAGGCCAGTTAGAGCCTCGATCAAGGTGCTCAAATAAAATCCCTGTTTGGATTCATTTGAGAGATTTTTATGGTTTATGGTACAATAAAATTTTGTATTTAGATCACAATATTATGAATTGGCAATCAAATAACTTTGTTAGGACCAGCAAATTGATCTTTTTTAACCCGACGACCTTGTTGTGGCGTCGAACAACTGTTCTTGTCTGACGGGAGAAGTTGCAGCTTGTGCTGTCCGTCCCTGGCGGTTATTGTTTTGATGATATTAAAAGAGAAAGTGATCAGGGTTGCAAAGATAATGCTGTTTAACAAAGCTGTGACTAATTATGTCTTCACAACTTTATGACTTATAATTTGCTGTTGACAATGACTTAAGGTGTTTAGAAGTACAATGGTGCTACATTTGTCAAAGATCAGTGTTGGCCTAAATCAGGGGTGGGCATAGGTATGAGTTGGATGTGGGGAGGTGATATTTTTATTTAAACTGAAGGCCGCACCAAAACTGTAACATTTCCCTAACCGCAAACAGTTTTGAATAGGATTTTCACACGCTGCAACAAAATTCCGACCTTTAATGTCACTAAAATTTGGTTATAATAGGTTTGTCATAGTGATGTACAGTATAGTATTCAATTCATCCTCTCAATCTGCTTAAAATTATGATGTCTTGGTGTGAAAGAGAATGTAAATAATCCAGTGGGGTTTTTTTTTTTATCAGTGTGCGTGTGTATAAATATGTATCATATGAATACCAGAAAGGAACGAATAATGGTATTTAACCATTAAATTTATTATATATGGAGTTTTTTTTCTGTTAAGCTTTGTAAATAAAAAGCATAAAAACTAACAGAAAATAGTTTATGTTTATTGAATTTGTAATTATGTAATGTTTTCTAAACAGTAACAATACATGTATAAAATAAGGTGAATAATCAAAAGTTGTTTAAGTCATTTTTGTCTTGTTTTCTTTTATATATATATATTCTTGTTCAATTTTTGGTTAAAACGAATGCACTATGTTGACTTGGACATGTGGAAAAGATTGCCAGTAGTGAATCTGGACTCTTGTCCAACATGTCATTCAATATCATCAATTCAGACGTTGCACAAACGTGTCAGGGTGTGAATTCGATCAGTGAAGGATTTGTATAATGCAGCATGATTGCTGATGTGTCTGTCAGTTAAACCAGTTTTCCGCTAAGCAAATTCATTCGTGTTTTGACAATGTACGCATGTGTTATAAGTTTCAGGCGAGTTTGCAAGCATCTTAACCACTGAGCTAAACAACTCCATTTTGATGTACTGCATACAAGATAGGAGACTATAAGTAATGATCAAAGGATTCACTATAATTATATATTTGTTTATAATATTTATATGTAGGCCTATCCATACTCTCTGAACCCCACACTCTTCTACAAACGTCAGTTGGTGACTTGCGCATACATCTTAGGTATTATCCACAATGTCCCGCATAATGTATTCTTTTTATATTACATTCAAAATTTAACACTTAATTCTATGATGATCCAGTTTTTGCGTAATGTTGCCAACAGACATGCAGACAGCAGTGAATATATAACCTCTTTTGCATGCACGATATTCTTCATACAGTTTTAAATCGGATTTTAGATCGGATTTTAGAAGTTTTTCAACCTTGTAATTAAAAATTGTAAACTGAATCATTAATATAAAAAATAGGCTCTTATGAGCCTTCAAAATTTAGTATAATTTAGATAATAATGATTAAAAAAGCGTAAAAACCACACGAATACAGTGGCTTGACTCACCTTGGACTTTCTTTAGTGTACTGTCTCAATAACCCAGGCTGAATTTCAGATTTTTTTTAAATGCACAGAATATCATGCCTGCTTTAGCGGTGCTCACCTCACCTCACCTATCGTGCCATGAGGCACATAAGGCCATAATATAATATTCAAGCATTTATATAGCGCTCTTTACCGGAGTCTCACGAACTATGGAAAAAGACGAGTTTTAAGAAGAAATTTGAACTCAGAAAGAGTCAGAGCATAACGGATGGCGGTAGGAAGTTGGTTCCAGAGAAGATTAGCACCCCAACCTAAAATAAAATAGCACCCCAACCTAAAATAAAATAGCGATAGACAGTTTTTGTGCAGAAAAACAAATACTTAATTAAAAACAATTAACTCATTTGCATTTTCACCTGCCTTAGCATTCATACACTCACACAATCCTTGTATTCTCTCACTCCTGAAGATTGCATTAGCATGAAACAGTCTGTAGAGTGATTATAACAAGTTCTACATTATCAATATTTACGCTCTGCATTATCACGTGTATCGAGCACTGTACGTTGCTAGTATTGCCAACTACATTTATTCATATAGGCCTATATGAATATATGTATATATAAGCAATTTGCGCTCCGAAGCAAGAAGCGAATAAAGAAATAATACTGTAAAACAGTAATAGCAACTTTGAGCTACAGTAGCTGTTTTTTTTTTTTAATGACAGACCCTACCCCAATTTATCAGTATTATCCTTAACCTTAACCAGAATTCCTTAAGAGGGGTTCCCAGCAATCGAGGGGCGTCCAGGCATCATGTGTGGGATTCAAGAGGAATAGTTCTGCCCCCTGGCATGATTATATCCTAAAGCCGCCACTGATGAATAGACTAGCCTGATTTATTGTAGCCTACATTTATTTATTAATTTTATTTTCAATTTTTCGACAAAAACAACATAAATATTGAACTGGTGTGCCGAGTAAAAGCAAAAAAAAAAAAACAAAAAAAAAAAACAAACTGTCATTTGTATTCTAATTCATTTAAGAATACTTTTCCTAATCAAGAAAACGTGTTATTTTTCTTAGGCCATATTTTACATTAGGGCCCTATATCAAGTTTAAAATGATTATATAGTATTATTTTGAGTCTTTCATTTGTTAATAGTAATTTTACAAATACAGTAGAAACCCTATTAAGGGGACAACTTCGCGGCCAAAAAAAGTGTCCCCTTAATAGGGGTGTCCCCAGAATAGGGGTACACCTAACTGGGGATACTAACCAAAAACGTGAAATTGTCCCCTTAAGAGGTTTTTGGCCCTTTTTTTCGTATAATGTTAACATAAATTCTTTTTCATTTTATTTTAGTTGACCTAAGAATGGGAATAGTATAATTATAACTTAATTTATAACAAGTAATTTGCTATGCAAAAAATAATTCATTTAAGATATGAACAGATATGTAATTAAAACTACAAAATTTGTGTATGTTCTCGATACTGTTTCTTTATTAGAGTACAATGTTAATGACCAAATAATCATTTTTTTAAATACTGAGCTTTCTATTAAATGCACAAGATAGAATACTATTGACAGATGTTACCAACTTAGAAATCAGGGTGCAGGATTCTTGAACCGATTGATCTCAGCTCCTTGTAAAATGTTATATTTAAATATTTTAGTTCTTTTAGTCTGATTCTGTCTGCGAAAGTGATCGTTTTGTAATCGTGTCTAGTTATATCCAATCTTTACATTATTTTTATCCTTCAGCAAATGTGTTTTGTTAATCATCATTTCTCCTAGACGGAGACTTTATTGAAGTAGAGGCCTCTGGCCCTTATACAAATGTAAAAAAAAAATAATATTAACAAGTAGTGCTGCAAATAGGTCTGTCTTTCTTTGAAGGCAAAGTATACATATTTTGATAATTGGTTTGTTAACTTGATATTAGACATGAGTAAGCATAGTTTATTGATAGACGGATAAGGGAAATATAATTGAGGAATAATTTTTTTTTCTTAGATTGGAATATAATGGACAGATAAAAAGAAAATGGAATTCATCCTCCACTAAATTTGTGTTACATAGTTTGCATATGCGATCTTGTTAAGGATCATGTTCCATCGCTCGGTTTCTATTTCTATGATATTTTTTATGATATTTTCGGATATACTTGAAAACTCGTCAATTATTAAATTCAATCTGTAATATATAATTATTCTCCCAGTGTTTCTTCCTATATAACTATATTTTTTTTGGTAGTTTCCATATACAATTATATCTATAAATGTTATAATTAGTACAATATTTATCCCAGGTTTCAGTAAAACATATAATGTCGAAATTACGTACATAATCTATAAAATTTAAATGTATTTTTAATTCCATTAATGTTCCATGATAGGACTTGTAGTCGTGTTTTATCATGTGCTGGTGGGTTGTTGTTAACCGATGTTTTTGTCTTCGAGCCTTGACCACGCCTTTATTTTTTTATTTTGATCATAGTTTTACGTTTGTCGTCATACCATATACTTCGCTTTCGACAATCAATAATATTCTTTTGATAATAAATTAAAACAGTTGAACCGTAAGGACGCCGTAAAATAACTAAATAGAGCTAACACAATGCAATAATGTAATTTCATTTATATTTATTGTAATTGTATTTATGTGTTTTTGATAATGAATACATTAATTTGAATTAAATTGAATAAATATTGAAGTTGTGTATTGTGTATAATTCTTTTACGATAATACGTGTTTTTATATATATTATGGATTTATATATTTCATAAAGCGTCATCGTAAACTTTAAAAAATATGCATTTGTCGTAGTTATCAATACTCATTTTCTTCAATATTACAATAATAATTGAATATTATACATAAGTGGACACTCGTGCTCGTGCACAAGCATCAATCATATCAAATACAAATGTCGAAAAGTTAAATAAGTTACCATTGAACACGGTGCCTATTACTAATACTAAATACTTATAAATTTATATTCATTATAATTTACCAACATAAGCAGTATAAATAAAAACCGTTTATCATTATCAATGCTTCCACCAAGCTCTGCAGAACTAAAAAGTCATTTGGT